CGGCGTTCCCTGGGGGCTCCCTACCCCCCCACACCTCCACCCATTGGGTCCCTTGAGCACCCCCCTTGCTCTCCCCCAGCTGCAGCAAGCGGGTGCCTTGCTGCCCCATCTTCTCTGCTGGTCTCTGTGAGGTCCCGGGGCACGTGCGTGCTCTCTTCCCCAGCAGGGTGAAGATGAAGTAGTGCTCTGACCATGGACCATGACGCCCCCACGATCAGGCCCCGCCGCATCCAGAACCAGAACGTCATCCACCGTCTGGAGCGCCGACGGATCAGCTCGGGCAAAGCCGGCACCCACTGGCACCAAGTCCGCGTCTTCCACCAGAACGTCTTCCCCAACTTCACCGTGGTCAACGTGGAGAAGCCCCCCTGCTTCTTGCGAAAGTTCTCCCCTGATGGGCGCTACTTCATCGCCTTCTCCTCCGACCAGACCTCCCTGGAGATCTATGAATATCAGGGCTGCCAGGCAGCAGAAGACCTTCTGCAAGGCTATGAGGGAGAGATCCTGGCCAACGGCAACGACCAAAGATCTGTCAACATTCGGGGGCGGCTCTTTGAACGCTTCTTTGTCCTGCTCCATATCACCAATGTGGCCTCCAATGGCGAGCACTTGAACCGCGAGTGCAGCTTGTTCACAGACGACTGTCGGTATGTGATTGTCGGCTCTGCTGCTTACCTGCCTGAGGAGCCTCACCCTCCCTTCTTTGAGGTTTACCGCAACAGCGAGTCTGTGACCCCTAATCCCCGGTCCCCTTTGGAAGACTATTCCTTGCATATCATAGACCTCCACACAGGCAGACTCTGTGACACAAGGACATTCAAATGTGACAAAGTCATCCTGTCTCACAACCAGGGCCTGTACCTTTATAAAAACATCTTGGCCATTCTCTCTGTGCAGCAACAGACTATTCATGTCTTTCAAGTAACACCTGAGGGTACTTTCATTGATGTACGGACTATCGGCCGCTTCTGCTATGAGGATGACCTCCTGACTCTGTCTGCGGTGTATCCTGAGGTGCAGCGGGACAGTCAGACAGGGATGGCCAACCCCTACAAAGAGCCTTTCATAAACTCTTTGAAGCATAGGCTGCTGGTGTACTTGTGGAGAAGGGCAGAGCAGGATGGAAGTGCCATAGCAAAAAGAAGGTTCTTCCAGTACTTCGATCAGCTGAGGCAGCTCCGCATGTGGAAGATGCAGCTTTTGGATGAGAATCATCTATTTATCAAATATACTAGTGAAGATGTGGTTACGCTGCGGGTAACAGATCCTTCACAGGTATTGCCTGCCTCCTCAGACTGTTTCTTGAGAGCGCTTGCCCCACAGCAATAAAGTAAAATGCTGTGAGCTGCATTTCTTAGTTGAGCCTGTGAATGTTCAGGGGATAAGTTGTTTGGGACCACTGTACTTCCTTCATTCTTGTGTGAACATTTGATGTCTCTGGTATTGAGTAACTTTAGTATCTTTTTCTCTCATAATTTTATCACAAAGGAGGGAGGAAAGATCTTATGTGGTTAACAAGTCCTCTTTCTCCAGGGATCATTCCCTGTGCTCACAGATGCTTTATAACCCACTTTCCCTTCCCAAATCCCTAGTTGATTTTTTTTTTTTTAAGCTACTATTTCATATAATACACTTATATTGTAGAGGTACTTTCTTTTCACATGTATCTTAGAGCATGTTTTTCGAATATAATAGTCTTCATTTTTCCCTGGTAGAATTGCCTTTTCTTTTCTGCCTACGTACTTAGGCTTTCAAGCTTCTGTCAGAGATAGTATTTACGATCTCTTGAAATTGGAGTAGCTGCTCTTAAATTTAGCTAATGTGCCAATTGCTTCTCTTTTCAGTTTAGTACTGAAGAAATCAAATTAGAGCAAATGTAGCTTAGTCAGTGTTGGGTCCTTCCAGATGTTTCACCATCCTGCAGGTTGATCATCTCTCTTTTCACTGTTAGAGACTTAATCAGTTTTTGATCTCTGTGAGACTGAGCAAGTTCACATTCTTTTCTTTTTTTTTCCTTTTTTATTCCTTTAATCCACTTTTATTTTGTTCAAAATATTTGGCAAGAATTTTTAATGAATCTCTAGTGCTGCTTGTTCGTCTGATTGTTCCCTAGGTTTTTTTGTATACCCTCCTCTTCCTCCCCATCTTTATCAGTTCCTGCACTTAGACCCTAGAAGAAATTCTCTAGAACTAATTTCTAGTATTAGTCTAATTCTTCTGGTGGGTGACTGTGTGCTTTTTTTGTTTTAATGTTTTACATTTTTTGGAAGGGGGTAACTTCAGGAGAGGATAGATGAGGCATAATCTAACCAATTTTACCCATCGATATAAAACTAGGTGGCTATCACAAAGATGTTAGAGCTTTGTGAAAGTGTCTTGCAGTTTTCTGCTTGCAGATAGTATCCTGGTAATCTTCCTGACAAAGGCCTTAGGCCACCCCGATGTAAATGTATGTGGTAGACTTGGCTCAGCTCTCTACTATGGTTACCAAGGCTCTTGTGCCTCCTTTGCTGCAACTGTTCTTGACTTGTTTCACCTGAAGATTACTTTAAGATGCAGATTGTGGTTTGTTTGTAGCATTCCTCAGGTGGTGTATTTTCTGCTGGAGGAAAAGCATCTCATTTCCTGCTCCTTTCAGCAGATAATTCCGGATGGGGAGCAGTCTCCAAAGACCTGCCTGAGTTTAGGCTTTGGTGGCAAAAGAGCTGAATTTCTTGATTGTCTTTCTCTCATCTGATCAAAGAAGAACTTGAGGCTTCGTCTGTTTCCAGGCCCTACTCTATCCTTAGGCTTCTCAGTGAAGAGGCTTGAAGAAGTTGATTATGCTTTTGGATTGCTTGTGTATTGCCAGGGTCTGCACTGAGTCTTTTTACTTGTGTGTTGTGTGTATATATAGCTTATTTCTTGTTCTAGACTTTGTATTTTATGCTTGCCAGTTTTTTTTTTTTTTTGCCAGTTTCTGCTGCCCATACTGTGATGTTCTTCTGCCTGTGTTACAGGTGCTACTAAAATGCAGTGAGAATAGCTTTTCTGGTCAAGGGCATCCTCCTGATGTGTCTGCTTGTTAAATACAAAGGTTCCTGTGCCAGGTTAAGGTTGGAAGATATTCTTTGCAATCTTTGCAGATGGAAATATTTTTTTTCTTCTGCTGTCACCTCTTATTTGCTCTCTGCTCCAACCCTGTATTTCAGAAGGGCTTTCCTTTCCTCAGGCAGTAGTTTAGTGAGTGACCTCATCTAGTGCTCTTCAGTTTGACGTGTGGGGGCTGGATTATATTGTCGCAATTTATTTTGGGTCTGTAAAACAAAAAAACCTTGTGATATTTTTGGGGGGGTGGGGTGAAAAGTTGTTTGAAGCTTGGACTGAATCACTCTGAAGGCCAAATCCCATGTGCAGGCTGCATCTAGAGCAGTTGAGGAGGTGGCTGGGGCAGAACTTGAGATACTGTCCATTTTAAGAGTGGTCTCAATGCCATGTGGCAAGAAGAACTCACAGGAGGTAAGGATCTGCAGAGGATTTTAGGACAGAACTTGAAGTGTGGGGTTTTTTTTGTTTCTTTGTTTTTTTGTTTTGTTTTTTATTAGCCTTTTTGGGGGCCAAAACTGGTGTATTAAGAGACTGCGTAGTTTTGAAATGTGTTCAGTCCTCTTTTTTGGTGTGAAATACAAATGTGGGCTCTACGATCAGAGATCATCAGGACTGGCCAGAGTGGGAAGGGTGAGAGAGGGCCTGCCATCGTTGCTGAGAATTGCTTGGGAGTAAGAGGTGAAGCATTTAGAGATTGCCTTTATTGACAAAAGGCTCATCCAGGCACCTACAGGGCCATGTGCTTATGCCAAGGGAATTAGTTATGGTGTTCCCTTTAAGGTAGGGGCATTTTTTGCTTTGAGGTGCCAGGAAGTTGGCACTCCTCTCTTTAATGAAAGCTGCCTTCAGTGAGTGAAGATTAAATCTGCACCTTCCCAAAGGGATGGGAATGTCCTCTCCCTTCCACGTAGCTGCACTGGTACAAGGTCACATTTCCCCCATCACTTGTTTGTTCATACCATGAAACACTGCCATTGTTGATCCACAGTGTGGTGCATGGGCCTTCTTGCATCAAAGTGTCAGTATTAAAAAGTAGTAGTTAACATTTTTCAGATTTTCATTTCTATGCCAGCAGGGTACCTGGAGGGCAGAACTTCTTGTAGGCAGAAGTATAGTGCACAGTACATTAAAAGGGCCCATCTCTATGTCGTGGAAATACTAAGAGGAGGAAGGAAATAATGTCTTCACATAGAAGAAAAAATAATTTGTTTGGCGCTGGGTTTAGAATCATTTCGTCAACAGGAAAGAAGATTAAATTTGGCGCTTCAGAAAGCGTTGTAGATTTGGTGGAGGGCAGAGAGGGAGGAAGGGAAAACAGAAACATTGACATCCATTTGGAGATGAAAAACTGGAAGCCTGTCAAGTTTCGTCTATAAATAATCACATCACAGTTAATAGGTGGCTAATTTAGTATCTGTTGAGGTATTTGAATTAGTATGATGATGGATGTGGGATTCTGCTGCCCTGTTTAAGACAGGGCTTGTGGTGTTGTATGAGGAGAAGGAAGGGGACAGGTTCCCTCTGTGTGCTCTCCTGGGTAACCATTACCTCTGCCTGTTTCCACAGCCTTCATTCTTCGTTGTGTACAATATGGTGACCACAGAGGTTATTGCCGTATTTGAGAATACATCTGATGAGCTGCTGGAGCTGTTTGAGAACTTCTGCGACCTCTTCAGGAACGCCACCCTGCACAGTGAGGCGGTCCAGTTCCCCTGCTCAGCTTCCAGCAACAACTTTGCCAGGCAGATCCAGCGCCGGTGAGGCATTTGGAGCACGCTTTATAGTGTATAGATACATGCTCACCCCTGTCAGCTGAAGGCTGGTATCAAATAACAATGGCAACCCTGAGTGAACCCAGCTCCTTTCACCACTGAGTGCAAGGGTCTGGCTCGTACATGATTCATCTTGCAGCCTCATGTATCTGATTCTGTATTCCACAGTGTCTGTTTTGTGACAGGAAATAAAAAAGCAGTGGAAATCCAGCATTTAGAAGAAGGAGAAGGAAGGGGAAAGATGTTGCTGGCTCTCTTTGAGTGGTAACTTGCCCTGGAGGTTATTAAAGCAGTACTGCCCGATAGTTTAGAGCCGTGCAGACAAAAATTGTCAGGATGGCAGCATCACCTAATGGATGTATTTTGCCAAGTGGCATTCTCCAAACTGAATGTACATCAAGTTGTGATCTATGGTGTTTTCTGCAACATCAGTAAAAAGCTTGTGATTCTTGTTAAAATCTGCTGTGAGAAAGGGAAGTGATCTGCCTAGAGCTGTTGTGAAAGCTGAGCAAAATATCAAAGTAACCAGGGTTTCGAGAATGTGCTTTAACAGTTAAATGTGGCTTTCATAAGGCAGAGCGTGTTATTCCCTTTGGAATATGTTTTTATGTGACTCGGGGTGTTTTGTTCTTCCAGTGACTTGTTAGACTTCCGACTAGGTACCTGGCAGTCACTTATGAGGAGGAAGCTTCTGTTGATTCTGGGTTGGTGTAACATAGTAAGAGGAAGTTGGCTTTGTCTGTAACTTTCAAGAGCTCCCTGTTGGGAAATCCACATCGCTTAGTGGGAGGGAGGGAGAGAGCTCGCTGCAGGCACCTGAAGAACAAGTCCTGCCTTGTGTTAAAATAGAGGAGAATCTTTTCACCTCCTTGGCTATAAAGGCCTGTAGCAGGAGTGTTTATCTGGTGTGGCAGGGTATAATAGTGCTTTTTCCACAATGAGCTGGCTTTGGGTTGAGTATTTCTGATCTAAGGGGAATGTTTTACTGTCCCTGCTGTATGACATTCATGCTGTTGATCTGACTGCTCTCAGTAGTGGAAAGCTCAAATTTTATTTGGAAAGAGAAATCTAACCTGTGCTATTCTGTTCACCAGGAAGATCTTTCAGCTCAGTGTAGTGTCTGAAAAGCTTGAGGCCTCTCTTCAAGGTTCTTCCCATCTAAGGTTTCTCCCTTTATGCACTTGAAACAGTGGCTAGGGAGGATTCTCAAGGCAACCTTAAGGGCTCAGTTGTTACTGCAAAATCCTCTGGCTTTTGCTTATGCTGTTTCCAGGCTTCATGATAAAACTTGGATGGATTGATAAGCTGCTAATCCATCTCTCCCTGTATCTGATCCTGCTGATCTCCTGTACTGCAGAGCAGCTGGGACCAGACCTTGTGGAGAGGCGGGATCTTGTCCTCTGTCTGTTTGGACTTTCAGAACAGAGACAGCAATGGTGAGGGAGGGTATAAAGGTCACCCGAATTGCTTGATGGCTGAATCAGTGTGACACATCTTTGGAAATGAGCTGTTTTAGTTCTTACACTGCCGCTGTTTTTCTTTCCTTAGCTGTTTTCCTGTTTAGCTTATTTAAGCTCTGCTGTTCACCTGTGGCCTTTGCAAGTAAAGCCTGTTCCTTGGTTTGCCACAGGTTCAAAGACACTATTGTGAATGCCAAGTATGGAGGGCACACGGAGGCCGTGCGGAGGCTGCTGGGCCAGCTTCCGATCAGCGCCCAGTCATACAGTGGCAGCCCCTACCTTGACCTCTCCCTCTTCAGCTATGATGACAAGTGGGTGTCAGTCATGGAGCGGCCCAAGACCTGCGGTGATCATCCTATAAGGTATGAAACAGGCCAGAAAGCTTTATGTGAGAACAGTGTGAGAGTAACTCTGAATTGCCTCGGCCCCATGGCATCACGTGTTTAGAAGGGGTAGATCAATGCCTTTCTCTTTTAATGTCTTGACCAGAGAGTTTGTTTCAGCAGTCTCAGAGAGCTTGGCCTCTCTCCTTGCGCTAACTTATTTTGTGCATGTGGAAGGGCTCCTCGGTCTTCTGACCGAGCTGCCCTAGGGAGGATTTGGGTGGTGAAACCTGAGCCTTTTCCATGTACTCTTGTTCCTCCTCTTCTTATAGTCCAGCCTTTGCTATCAGGCTGCAGAGTAATATGGTTCCAGATGCCTGCTTTCCTGTTCTGGAAGGATGGATGGCATGGATGATCTGGTTTGTACTGTGACGATAGTAGCTGGGCTAGGTGTTATTCGGAATGCTTATGGTACTGATTTAACTATTTTCATGCTTTCCTTGTTTACAGTTCTTACCCTGGGAGCTGTAGTTCTTTTCATTCCCCTTCTTTCTGTGATCTCCTTTCTGTAGTAGGAGTTTAGCCAGATGTAAGGGCTGTTCTGTGTCTTTTATCTGTGCCTTGATGCTGGCAGCAGGAATAAAGTTTGCAATGTTTCTTGTAGAAACACCGGGATCATTTTTTCCTGTTTGTTGGCTGAATCCGTGGCCACGAGAAGTACCGGTTAAGAATCCAATGTCTTCTGCCCAAAAGGCTCAAAGGCACTGAGTTTTCCAGGCAGAAGAGTCTTTCCATTTATAGAACTGGAAAAGCAGAATGAACGTACGCTCTAAAACAGAGAGACCTCTATGCCCAAGTGCTTTGTATAGTGGCTGCCCGCGCGTGGAGGGCTCAGCCAGCCTAGAGAGGCCATTCTGGCCTGTTTCCCAACTTTATTTTCATCAGTGCATTCTCAAAACCTGGTTTCGTGTTTCCCCCAGCCCTGCCTCAGGTGGCAGGAAACCTCTGATTGTTCCTGCACTCCCAATTCCCAAATTATGTATATTGTTTTTTCTGCCTGCGTGATTTGGTTTGATCTCCAGCTCCCATGCAATCCGCCGAGGAAAAGCCTGCCCTCTCCCCCTTTTCATGCTTGACGTTGAGAAAACTCGAGGGGAGGCATTTGTCTGCCAGGCCCAACCTGTATACAGCTCCCACAGACAAAAGGGAGCAAAACCGCAGTCATTTGCTGTGGTTACGTCTTTGTAGTAGTAAACAAAGCGAAGTGCCACCTTCCCTCCCTCCCCTGAGCGAGCCGGCATTTCAGAAGCAATGCTTTTAAAGCTCAAAGCTGTGCACAGTCAATTAGGACTTGAATAGGGCCTTTACTTTGGAAAGTAAAGAGAAGATAAGGCACTAACCTTAACCGTTCAGTAGCTGAAATAGTGCTGCTGGGTTTCTTGCATGCGAAACAAAGGGTTTAATAAAATAATGCAGCTGTCTGTTGTGACTGGAGGGCTTGGAAGTGAGGGGACACAGGATTTGTAATGTAAGCCCAAGAATGGGCTGGAGTGCAAAACCTTTCGGCAGCTAGGGGCGTTACAATCTGTATGTAGTTTCCTGGCATGAGGCGTGTGACTTGAAGGCCTCCATTTTACACAGGAGTTTCAGCACCTCTGTGCACTGTGCCCGTTTAACCCTTACTGCCTTTCTGCATCCCAGAAGATTCAACTGTCATCCCTGGTTACTTGAGAGACTGACGATTGTTTTCTCTCATTTGGGAAGGACTTTAGACGCTCCATCGTTGCTGTCTTCCAGTGTCTTTTCAGGCGGTTTGAAGATAAATGTACTGGGTGAAATGATGGGACTTGTGAGGAAGAGGCTTTAACACAGCCTTACCTATAATAGGGGATCTCTAAATTCTATCTAGATGGCTAATGAGGAGCCATTTAACCAAAAAATTGGTCTGCAGATAAATCTTCCATTTTCATACAGTCTGAAAAGGCTGGCCTTGCTGTTTCTGTTGACATACAATTTTATATTTCAGTGCCTAATTTATCCCTGGAGTGAGAGCCCATGGAAATGGCCTCTGATTGCAGAGCACTTTTAAAAATAGATTTAAAAATACCAAACTGAGCACATCTTTGAGATTACAGGGAGCTTCATCTTGAGCAGTAAATTATTGTGAATTGGGGAGAGAGAGGAGCTGACCAGGAGCTGTGCTTTATTTAAAGAATGACCCTCCACATACACAGCCCTGTGTAGGAGGGAAAGGGCTTTTTGAAAAGCCAAATACCAAGATTGTGACTCTCTTGCTGGGTTCTTGTGTGTAATTTTCAGGCAGGACTGGCTGGCACTTTGATTCAGGGGAAGGGAGTGGAGAGTGGCCCTCCAGGAAGAACATGAGGATCTCAATAGGCTGCGTTGTTAAAATGTGGAGTATGTCTGCTCCTGAAACAGCATTGCCTGTATCTGTCATCACCAGTTCTATCAGGCTGAGAGCTGAGTGCATCATACTGCTAGCAGGGGGGAAATGTGCTCTGATATTAAAAGCGTTCTCTGAATTAAAACCAGAAGAAAATTCAAAATACCCACATGTATAAAGTAATGGTAGAAAAGGAAACAGCTAGGAGTCAGAATGGTGACTCTGTGCCTAAGATTGTTTTCTGCCCCTTTCAATCTAAGGAACTGAGCCAGCTCCTAGGTAAGGACTTGAGTTCTGTCAATAGAGTCCAGCTGCTTTGTGAAGGTACTGCATCCCAGAAATCTCTTTCAAAGTCTTGGAGAGAGTGAGGTCATACAGTACCCTTTCCTACAGCAGTGAAGAGGAAGAGAGTTACCTGGGCTTAGCTCTATTATGCAGAGTGAGCTCATCCTCTAGTTTGCAGGGGAGGTGTAAGAATAAAGAGGTTTCTAGATTTGTCTCTATTCAGTGCTGTTTGCCTCATTTCCCTAAGCAATATTCCCTTCTTGCTTAAGCTGTGTCCCAGAAGTCACCTATTCAGAGACACAGATGAGCTTCCGCAGACCCACAGGCAGGTTTAATGAGTGACAGCAGAAGGATACATCCATTTTTCGTTATACTTGCCATTGCTGTGACTGTTGAGTGCTGTCCGCTAACTACTTCCTGCCCAGGCTATCTTGTTGATTTTTTTTTTTTTTTTTTTGTTGGAAATCTGAAAGGAACTGCAAAGCCTGACTTGAGCTGAACTAACCTGTAAAGTAGAGTTTGGTACCCTGGAGCAGAGCTGGATCCAGCAATGTTTACCTTCCTCTTCTGAACAGGCATGTAGCAAGGCACAAGTGCAGCAGTATGAAGCCTACCTCGCAGCACCAGGAGAGAGGAAGGATGGCCTTACAGTTGGAGAGAAGGCCATAGCGAAGGGAAATGAGCTCAATTCTCTATAGTAGATCTACCTTGGGGATCAAGGGGAGCTGCTTGCACTAAGAGAGGTTGGAGAGCCAGTGCAGGTGCAGTCTGGACTGAACTTCTTATTTCTTGTTGTGAAGTCAGTTAAGTCCACCAAAATGAAAGGCAGAGTTCTCTCACTGATGATGCTAAAATGAAGTCAATTTTTTTCTAGATAGTGGAAAGCTAGCTGCCCTGGGAGGGACTTTCCTGTGTAGCCAAGAGCCAGACCCCCAGCTGAGGGTCCCCTGCCTCTGAGGGAGTACTAGAATTTGGACAAGGCACTTGCCACTGTGTGCGAAGAGCTCAGATGGCAAAGTCAGTAGTCAGGAACAACCATAATTGACTTTCTCTTCCTTTCAGATTTTACGCTCGTGATTCTGGCCTCCTGAAGTTTGAAATCCAGGCAGGACTCCTGGGGCGACCCATCAATCACACAGTGCGACGCCTGGTTGCGTTCACCTTCCACCCCTTCGAGCCCTTTGCCATCTCGGTGCAGCGCACTAACGCAGAGTACGTAGTTAACTTCCACATGAGGCACAGCTGCACGTAGTGCAAAACGTAGCTGGGGCAGCTGCTCTCCTCAGGTCTGGGCCTCTGCCACAGACACACCAAAGCCAGACACTCATGCCTTCTAGGAAACCAAACCATCGCTCACGTCAAGAAACCTGACCTGGGAGCTCCTACCAACCAGCGTCTCACCGGCCCGTCAGCTGTGGAAGGTCAATCCACTGAAGTTAGGCCTGTGAATGTTTCTCCTGATTCCATCCATTCATGCTGCAGAGGTTTCTGTTGCATTAAGCACTGTTGTTGATCCCTGTTCTTACTGATGAACAAAGCGTAGCTGAAATTCCCATCTTGGTTTCCCAAAGGCACACCTGTTTTTCTCTCCTGTTATATGTCTTAGGATGGCAAAGATGGAGCTTTGCAATGCGTGGAGTGCTCCCTTCTGCACTGATGCTCTTCTACTTTGTTGAGGCAAACAGCCTGTCTTAGAGGGATTGGATAGAAGCCATGGTGGGGGCTTAGAAATATAGCTACCCATGTTTGTACCTTGAATATTACTAGAGAAGTGAAATCCTGTTCTCATCCACACAGTCTACTCACATGATTTTAATATGCAAGAAGTTAGGAAAGGTAGGTCTGAGAAATCACTGGAATTAGGAGAGTTGAGGTGTTTTCCTGACTCTTATGCAAGTCACTTAATCTTTGTGCCTTAGTTTCTGTAAAGCCCCTCAGTGAAAGGTGGTATGTTAATACCAGAGAGCCAGGGCAGCTGACTGTGTCTGTAGCGTATGAGGAGGTGGGCACAGCAGAGAGATGGGTGGTCGAGAGGGGTGTGGGGAGCAACAGCAGCTCCTTCTCCATGTCAAAGGACTCCTTTCTGCAGAAAGGAATTATATCCTTGTGGGCATCTGCCGATTCTGCTGCTAAGGGGAAGGGAGACTTAGCTGCTGGCACCGGTCTTCATGTTGGCCATGTGAACATGGAGAATTAGTAGCGTTTGGGTTTCCCCAGAAAGGAGGGAGGAGACCTGAATTTGCATTGCTGCAAGTTTGCAGTTGAGACTTTGACTTAGGTTGCTTATGTATCCCTGTTTGATATGCTGTTCTCTGTGAGAACCTGATTTGCTGTGCCCAGGCTTCAAAGCACAGCTGGCTGGTGCATCATATTTGGCTTGATGCAGACTGGACCGCTGCAGCACCTGTGCTGTCTATAAATAAGCTCCTGGATGTGATCTTACATACCACTGTGGGCTGGTGGGGATGCCGTCCTGCCCTCCTCTGTTAAAAATGTAGTTTTCAGTTGTTGATTAACACTTGGATTTTGCCACACACGGGTTGGTTTTAGGACTGCGTGCTGCCAGTCATTGCAGGAATGTTTTTTTTTCCTGCTGTTGTCCGATTCCCGGGTGAGGTACGGAGTGGACACTAGGAAATTGGTGCTTATACGTGGGGAGACCCTTACTTGAAAGGACCCTGTTGGTGTCTTGTTTGGACCAAAATGGGCCCAGCTGTGGATGAGGTAACGTGGCCGCATGCCTGAGAAGAGTGATCTTGAGGTCTTGCCTTCATTTTGCATAGTAATAGACTGGAAAATAACTGTGTTTTGTTGCTGGTGCCTGGAAACAGCATGAGTGTCTGACCTCGTAATGGGGGGTGCTGGGGTCCTTGTATCAGCCTTTAGTCTCTGTCGCATCGCATGTCTCTCCTCTCCTGGCCTTGCTAAACTTATGTCTAGGGCA